GAAAACAACTTTTATCAAATTGAAATGATATATTTGAAATTTAAAGTCAAAGTGAGGCTCAAAGTAGCAGGAGTAGTGACTTTTAGTTAATCAGGAAGCTCCTAGTGCACATTGATGAAAGAAAATCCACTGAGAGAGAACTAGGTCACTCAACGCTTGTCTCTAGTGTGAGTTAATACAAACCAGAAGTCAGACTACAGCATTGCTGGGGGTGCCTGCCCCTTACACGAGGCCAGACATTTCCTGAATTGCAACACTTCTTGGCCAGCACCTGCCCTTTCCCTTCCTGACAAAGTCCAGTGTTACTCACTTCTGCTTAGCCTTTGCCAGCCAGTTGGATTCCTTTACTGCTGGGGAGTGGCTGTTTTTAATACTAAAGTAGGAAGACAGCTGCCAGGCCATAGCAATGAAGGTTGCTGACAAGATAAAGGCGGAGCTGAACTTGTATGTGAACCACACTGTCACACTTGGTCATCACTTGCATCAGTAACACTGAATCTGGGGTGTGACTGAGACTGAGCAGTGACGGGAATGCTCTGTTGGCATGATTTCCATGGACCCTTGAAACTCCGTGAGTGGACTGAGGTGAGCCTAGCTGAGTCACCACCCCTACTCAGCATGTTCTGTAATCATTATTCATGATGGTGAGCAGTTGTCGAATATTCCAGTCTTACACTGTGTTGCTAAGCTTGAGCTGTTGTTGATTGTCCTGGCTGAAATGCTTTTAGAACAAGCAGTGACAAGCCAACCCCAAGTCCTCCTAAGAATGGGTCCTACCTAAGTAGGACGAGGGAGGATGCTGCCAGCCATTCTCAGGCCTCTTCTACCCTAAGGCTCTCCCTAACCCACCTGCTTCATGCATTGCCCACCAATTTTTAAGACTCAGGTCTCATTCTATAGTCCAGAATGGCCTCAAATTATGGCAATCCTCTCAGCCCCTCAAATTATATAGGATGAACCACCCTATCTGGTTCCCATGAAGTAGCTGGACCTCGTTGTGCCTTCCAGAAGCCCTACCTGTGAGAATCCCTCCAGACCTCATACCCTGGCTCTTCCTAGTGAACCCTTGAAGTGTGTGGTTTTCTAGGGTGTCTGTTTTGCTGTAGGTAGTCAATTAAAGTATCTTTCCTAAGAGCTGGACATGGTGTCTCACTCAGCATCTCAGCTTGTCCTTCTTTCCCATTACCACTTGCCATCCTTTCCTTTGGGCTTCCATCACATTTTACGGGGGCTTTAGAGTCACCTTATGGGACACCCCTCTCTTGGAAGCTTATTTGTCTGTGATTTATATTTGCTTTTTGTCTGTTGGCTTTGAGACAGGCTCTCAATATGTGGTCTGATAAGTACACCGTGATGGCCTCAGACTCATGTCAATTCTTTTGCCTCTGCCTCTCAAATACTAGGATTACAAGTTTACACATGGCACCCAGCTATATTCACTTTTTTTTTATTTTAACTTAAATTTATTTGGGAGATTTGTTTTGTTTTGAGACAGAATCTCATGTAGTCCAGGTTGGCTTTGAATTCTTTACCCTTCTATCTCCATTTTCCAAGTGCTAGTATTACAGGCATGCACTGCCATGTCTGGACTGTCTTTTTATTATAACCACATTAAAAAGTTATTACAAGTCAGGCAGTGGAGGACCACACCTTTGATCCCAATACATGGGAGGCAGAGACAGACTGATCTCTGTGAGTTTGAGGCTAGCCTGGTCTACAGAGTGAGTTCTAGGACAGCCAGGGCTCTGTCTTGAAACTCTGTCTTAAAAAACCAAAAACAGCAAGTACAAAAAACCCATTTGTTTGTTTGTTTGTTTGTGTTTGGGCTTGAATACCAAGGAACCTGTGGGGAGGTCTGGGAGCAACTTGGAGGAGTCAGTTCTCTTTCAAATATTCGGGTCCCAGGGATCAAACTCAGACTCCCCAGCAACTGCTTTTTACCTATTGAACCATCTTGTCAGCCCTTAACCCTCCCCTTTAATGATTGCCCACGGTGATGCTCACCTTTATTCTCAACACCTGGGAGGCAGAGGCAGATGGATCTCTGGGAGTTCAAGGCCAGCCTGGTCTATATAGAGTTCCAGGTTCAACATTACACATTACATAGTATGATGGCTAGTTTATGACAACTTGACACAGCTAGAGTTACCTGAAAGGAGGGAACCTCAATTGAGAAAATGCCTCTATTAGATCAGGCTATAAGGTATTTTCTTAATTCATGATTAATGGGGGAGAGCCCAGTTCAAGGTGGTGCCATCCCTGGGCTGGTGGTCCTGGGTTCTATAAGAAAGGGGGGTGAGCAATCCATGAGGAGCAAGCCAGTAAGCAGCTCCCCTTCATGACCTCTGCACCAGCTCCTGCCTTCAGGTTCCTGCTCTGTTTGAGTTCCTTTAATGATAAATAGCAACATGGAAGTGTAAGCCAAATAAACCCTTTTGTCAAAGCAATAGAAACCCTAAGACACTCAGTGAGATCCTGTCTCAAAAAACAAAATCCTTTAATGATTCACCGTTGACTGTAGAACCTCCACCACCACTGCCATCATGTCCCATCACTGTGGTGTCCCTGTCTTCTCTTCCCAATGCTGGTATTCTCTTACCAATGTCCTCAGAGCTTCAAGCTTTTTTATTTATTTTTTTGTCTTTTGTAGACAGGGTTTCTCTGTCTAGTCTTGTCTGTCCTGGAACTCATTCTGTAGACCAAGGCTGGCCTTGAACTCACACTCTGCCTCTGCACCCGCCCCCCCCCCCAAGTGCTGGGATTAAAGTCTGTGCCAGCATGGCCAGGCTGCCTGAAGCTTCTCTTATTTTCTGTTTTTGCTAGCCTGGGTATTGGGAAAGTTATGCAAGCTTCTACACTTCATGTTCCTCGAATGTCAAGTCAAAAGAATAACAACCAGATATCTCTGTCAGCTGCATGTGATGACATGCACATGTCTGACAAGTATCAGCCACTGCTACCACTCAAGGATATTCCTGAATCAAGAATAATTTTAATTACTTAAATAATATTTGAAGGGGTGTGGTGGTTTGAATGCGAACGGCCCCTGTAGGCTATATTTGAATGCTTAGTCCCCAGTTAGTGGAACTGTTTGGGAAGGATTAGGAGGTGTGACTTTGTTGGAGGAGGTTTGAGTATTCGAACGCCCACACCAGCCCAGTGTCTTTCTCTGCATGCATATAGATCAGCTTGTAAGCTCTCAAACCCATGCCTGCCTGCTGCCATGCTTCCTGCCATGATGATCATGGACTAACTTTCTGAAACTGCCTTCTTTTGTAAGAGCGGCCTTGGTCATGTTATTTCTTCATTGTACTTAGAACAGTAACTAAGACAGAGGGCTAGAGAGATGGCTCAGAGGTTAAGAGCACTGACTGCTCTTGCAGGGGACCTGGGTTCAGTTCCCAGCACCCACATGGTTTCTCACAACCACCTGTAACTCGAGTTCCCAGGTACTGGACCCCTGTTCTGAGCTGTGTGTGCACCAGGAATGCATAAGATGCACATACTTACATGCAGGCAAAACATACACAAACATTTTTTAAAAAAAATTGTGAGACACAGGCTTACAGTCCTTACAGCTCTCAAACTTATAGCAATCCTCCTGCCTCAGACTCCAGAGGGTAAAATTACAGATGTGAACTACCACACCTGACTTAAATATACTTTTGTTTTCTCAGTACTAGGGATCAAACCTAGGGCCTTGTACATGCTAGACAAATACTCTATCACTGAATCAGACCTGCAGCCTACCATCGGATACATGTTAAAGATGCCAAAAATACACACTAGGGAAAAGAAAGAGCCTTCAACAAATGCTGCTGGGGAAACTGGGTATCCATATATAGAAGAAAAATGAAATTATACCCATATCTATTACTCTGTACAAAGATCAACTTGAAATGGTTAGAAGACTTCAATGTGAAACCTCACCAGAAGCACTGAAACTTCTAGAAGAAAACATAAGCATACCTTCAAGATGAAGGTTCGGGAAAGGAATTTATAAATAGGACTTAGTTTACTCAGGAATTAAGGACAATAATTGACAAATGGGACCTCATAAAACTGAAAAGCTCCTGTATAGCAAAAGAAACAGTCAAGAGAAGAGGAAGCCCACAGAGTGGAAGAGAATCTTCATCAGCTGTATGAAGCTGACAGAGGGTTCATATCTAGAATATGCAAAGAACTCAAACCACAAGGAATCAAGGAAACAACCCAATTCAAAAATGGGCCAGGTATCTGACAGAGAACTCTCAAAAGAAGAATTAAAAATGGATAAGAGATACCTTAAGAGGGCTCAATGCCCTTAGCAATTAAGGAAATGCAAATTAAAACTACTTTGAGATTACATTTCATTTGTCAAAATAGCTAAAATCAAGAAAACAACCAACAACAAATGCTGGAGGGCATGCAGGGAAATAGGAGCCCTCATTCACTGTTGGTGGGATTTCAGACTTGTGCAGCCACTGTGGACATCAGTGTAGTACATTCTCAAAGAGCTAAGAATGGAACTACTACATGGCCAGCTGTACCACTCTGTGGTGTTTGCCCAAAGAATTTGACATCCTAATCCACAGATACTTGCTCGGCCATGCTCAGTGCTGCTGTAGTCACAATAGCTAGGAAATGGAAACAGCTTTGATGTCCATTCTAACAGAGCCCAGACCTTATTAGACCTTCACACCTTAACATAATTGACTCCATAATAGAACTGCCATTCATGCTGTAAAATGTAGACAGCACCACCTGCCAAAAATGAAAACAAAGACCTAATCCATCCAAATCCATAGTCTGGGAAAATTAAAATGTACTAACCTTGCCTTTT